CCTGGCTCTCTCTGTCTCTCTTCCCCCACACACACGCAAACGCACCTCAATCACCTTGTACTTGCAGGCTTGCAGCAAGGCTTGTAGAGCAGCAGATGGGAGAAGGGGAGGCTAGAGCTTCTTGTCCACTTCCATGAGGTGGCAGCCAGAGCTCCGAGGTGCCCACCCCAAGGTACCTTAATGTCGTCTGTCCGCCGTCGGGGTGTCTCTTCTGGTCTTCTACTCCTCCTCCTACGCTCCCGAAATTCTTTTCCTTTCCCCCTTCCTTTTCGCCCTCTGTCTCTCTCTCTCCTCCTCCGGCCCTGTGCCCATCTTTCGTCGTGCTTGCCGACGTCTTTTTCTTGTCTCGTCTGTTCAATTGCATCTCAAGGCCATTTCGCCTGTAATAATCTCACACTCTCATTTATCGTCTCTCGTGACGTCTTTTCTTTGCCTTTTCCCTTGTTCTTCTTCATTGCCACAATCTTTTATGCCTATAGTACATTATCTTACCCATCTCCGAATCCAGTCAATCACTCACTCATCTCACCAAATCTTGGTCGCCGCGGCTTCTCCATACGCAACAACGTAAACCACCAACGAAGAATTCCAGTCAGCCCACGCGCCATCCATCGACGACACTCTCTCAACCAACACACATTTACACACCTGTCAGGTATCTTAATGAAGAAAAGCGGCCTTCTCATGCATTTGGAGCATTTTCACCTGGACCGATTCACTCAAGTTGAGCAACACGGAACCTCCCAAGCTCAACCACGACATTGGACGTCTTCGATTCGACCAAATCTATTTCGACGGAATCCCCTTTGAAATTTTCAAATTACCACCACGAATTTTGACGGCCCTGAGCTACAGCTACAACTACAACAGCCAACTACTTCCACACACCCTTCTCTACAGCGCTGCATGACCTCGAGAGCCGGAATTCGCACATTCAAAGCCAACTGTGATTGTTTCTCACCCTACTTTCAATTCGAGATAGCTAGAGCACAGACCGAATCGGTGTCCGTCACATTCGTCCCCCCAGCCGTGCTGGTCTCGAGTCAGCCGCTCCGAGAATTCCATTGCGCTCGGCCCCCGCCTGCTCCCGCAACCGCCCTATCCCGTTAAGCTTGGGTGCCACTCGCACTCCATGGCCCGGATACCCCACGCCGACAAAGACTACCCGCCTCGACCCTTACGCTTGTCTGCGAAAGCCACCGGTTTCTCCTCCCTCCCGCATCCACCTCACGGAGCATGTCCGGCTCCGGGTCCGGGTCTGGGAGCCCCTCCCGGGGCAGCCCTTCCCGGTCCCAACGGAGGCCGTTGCATGAGCGCTCCAATTCCCAGTCTAATTCCCTAGCCATCCGCATCGTCCCCTACAGTCCGCCTCGTCCAAGCCACAAAAATCGAGACTCAACCGCCTCAGCTTCGTCATCTCGCACCCCCACATCGACGACCGCACTCCTATCTCCCAACCCATCAGGTTACGATCACACCAGCTATTCATGGACCGACGACCGCACCGCCAGCCGCGCCAGCGATCGCTACTCCCACAGACGGTCTCACTCTTCCAGCACACGAACCTCAGTGCTATCGCCAGCCTCCTCAACCTTCCCATTGGTGAGCGCCAAGGATAGCGGTGTTTCAGGCTCGAAACTGCGATCCGACTCCTTGCCCGGCGACGAATCGTCCCCCACCACCCCTGTCCCTACCACTCCACCACATCAGACCGATATTTCCCACGTTAATGCACGATCCCGGTCTGCCCAACGCAGCGCCGACAATGAGCCTGTCACACCCTCAGCAAAGCGCCCCTTGTCCCGCCGTCGCAATCTCATTACGCTCAACGCCGATGGCAAGACCTTCTCCCTATTGCCTCAGGGGCAGCGGGCCGGAACCCAAGGAGACCATGCCTCTAGCACCGCCCCACGGTTATCACTTTCGACTACCGCCTCGCATGAGCGCCTTTCAGACGCCTTCAGTGAAAATCGTCCCAGCTCAACCGTGACTTCCTACCCGGATCAAAGCTTCGCTTCCACGTTGACCCCGGCATCCTCGACCACGCAATTAGCAGGTGATTCTATTACCAGCACAGCCGGGTCTTCGTCGTCTCCCTGGAACTATCGAATGGTTGGTGGCCTACGCAAGGTTCCCAACACTCCTGATCTCAAGCAGAAGCAGAAGTCGACGCTACTCTACCCGGAATCCGATCCAGCCTCATCCTACCCGTCATCCCCATTAGGTTCTCGACTCGCGCCGCTGCCAGAGGCGCCGATCGCTGCTGATTCGTCTGAATCTTCCGAGCCCCACGATTTGCAGCCCAAAACCTCCTTTCAGTCATCCGTCACTGCGTCCACGACTTCAGAAAAGACGAACTACAAAGTCTACGGCTCCAATTCTCCCCAGGCGACCGACGCCGACAGCGTTTTACATGCGCCATCAACGACCTCCGAGACAACAAACTACAAGGTATTCAGTTCCAGCTTACCTTCTTCGCCCGAGCGGGAGGAGTCGTTGCAACCGCCAACCTCGAGCCACTCCAACTACATAGTCCTTGGCCGGTCTTCGCCTCCAGAACCATCTTCTGCCGAGAGAAGTCCCCCAAAGACGGCCGATAGCGAACAGAATTACGTTGTGCTCGGCGCATCGTCCCCAGCACCATCATCCGTCGCCTCTAGCCGCCGTTCCCGTATCAGGCCCGAGTACTCGCAGGAAAGCCTTTTGGTGGCTCCGCTGAAACCGTACAAGGCGAAGAAGAGGACCAACGAAAGGTTTGGATACTACAAGTCGCGTTCGAGGGATTCCTTGCGCCGTGCAGCGTCGGTGAAGTCGATTTCCGGCTCGCTCACTCTCGAAGCAGCCCAGAGTTTCCTCGCCTCTCCTGCTGCATTCTATCGATCCCGTGTTCTGGCCAGCCAGCCAGGTCGGCAGCCTGACGCGCAAGCTGCGCCAACGGAACCCGCCCCCATTTCTGTGCCTGCTGAATCCCACATGACCACTCATCCTCACCAATGGAGCTCACAACTATCCACCGTGATTTCGGAGAGTGAGGGGGACAGCGAGCCTCCATCACGTTCCGTGTCCCCATGGTCTGTACCTGGGAGACGGGGTAGCATACCGTTGAGCAGCCATAGCCGGCAGATGCTTAGCATTTCGTCGTCGCTAGCTGCAAACGAGGAGCGCTCACTCTCTCACTCAAGATCCTTCACGGACTCTCTTGAACGCCCTCAAGCTACACACAGCAGAGGGAATACGCTTCGCATGGTCAGCGATCGAGACGAACATGGCGACGGCCTGGCAGAGCTGAACCAGCTACATCAACGTCCTTCCCGGACCGGCCTTTCAAGCTTCTTCTCGAGTTCCTCGTCTGACCGGAACCTCCACTCCTCTAGTAGCTCCCGTGCGAACAGTTTGAACTCGGCGTCCATTCCCGCTTGGGCCAAGTAAGTCAACCCGATGTCCTGCAGGAAGCATTGTGATACCGGTATTTGGACCTCAAGCTAATGTAGTCGTCTACCTGTAGATTCTACTACGGAAGCGGAGAACGTCGATTCCTTGCCAGCTCGGGAGACTCAGTTATGTCAGATCCGAATGATAGCCGGCCACCAAGCTCATTCCAAAGCCGTTCCCCCAGTGTCGAACAGCTCGCCATGAACATATACAGCCCCAGGCGACGGCCAAGGGAGGTAAACCTTGCCAACCCTCGGCCGCTGTCAGATGTCGGCTCCATGGAAATCAGCCAAGCACCGTTGACAGACAACCGAATGCGCAGCGGGTTAAGGAAGAAGACATCCAGCATCTGGTCACCCCACTTGCGGCGTGATCAGAGGGCTGGTCGCCACAGCATCTGGGAACCACCTTCTATGACGTGGTCAGCCGAGACGAGCATGTTGGGGAAGCGAAACGTGCAGGTTGCTTTCTTCGCTCTGGGATTCATTTTCCCATTTGGTGAGACACTCCTACTCAACGGCACTGTATTGACACAAGGCTAATCTGAGCCAGCATGGATGATTGCTGCCTTCCTTCCACTACCCCCTGACCCTCAAGCTGAGATGGCCGAGCGCGACCCACGATCAAGCCTGTTGGACGAAGAACGAGACCTTCCTCGGAGAGTTGCGGCGGTTGACGAGACTCTTTTCCAAAGCGCCCGTTGGTGGCGTGCACTTAATCGGTACATGTCCGTCATTGGTCTTCTGGTCGTTGGCGCCATTGCGGCTCTCGTTGTCGTCGGCGTAAAGCAAGGCTGGGGCCAAATGGTGTAGCTGCCTACTCCAAGCCGCCTCCTTTCTAATTGTATGCACCACCTCAAACAAAGGGATTTGGTGCCCGAACACGCCGCGGTACATGGCTTTTGGCCTCAGCAACAAACGAGTATTCATCAAAAGCATCATTGGCCGTTGAAATTCAGCGCACCGGCATCACGACTGGGGTAACGACTTAATCCCTTCACGAATTTACGACATCATTTATTTTTTTTTTCTATTATAGACATGCACATACCAAGTTTTCTCGGCGGCCGGCCATGGGGCCTTTTCTATCGTCCAGTCTAATGGCTCCGCACAATGACGACGGTTGCTAGCCATACATAGTTCGCTGTAATTGTACACCTGGCCAGATTGAGCCATACCCTTGATGACAACATGATGGCATTTCCTTCTGATTTTCTCTCGTTGGGCGACTTGGATTGCTTGACGATACCCCCCTTGGCTTTACACGGGAGTCAAACATGCTGGGATTGGTGTTGGGTGATTGGAGACGACTGAGCCAGACAGTGGCATCACGTTGCTGTTGTGGGATATAGACATCATATTATAATGGTTTAGTTCTAGATCTGCATAGCCTGCAATGTCTAATGACCTGCCCTTGTAGGGCATCTTACAATCCAATGCCTGGCCCATTTCGCGACCTTGACAACAGTTCTAGACCCATCAACCCTGTTTTCATGTATGCAGAAACAAGGGCCGCTCTGGATGGAGACGGGAACAATTATCTGCAAAGATGCCGCCCTTTCCCGGTCTTCAAGTAGCTTTGCTTCTTTGTCTGGCTTCCACTTCGGCTTTGATTTCCTCCATGGCCTCGTCGATCTCTCGCTGAGGGTCCGCCGACACACCCAAGACTGGTTCCCGCCCTGTTAGACTGTCTTGGCTCAAGGTACGGGTCAGCTTGGCACCGCCTTTGCCTTGACGTGCCTCGAGTTGCTTGCGAAGGATTTGTTTTGCCGGAGAGGCAAAGAAGGCCATGGAAAGCGCAGTGCCGACAATGGTATAGAAGTAAACACGAGCCCACACCTGGACCGAACCGGAGAACTCTAGAACAAGGAATGGGGTGACAACGAAGGACATGCCAATTTGAGTAACGAAAAGCGAGAGGACGTCGTAGTAGACCTTGTTGGAAGTAGGCGCACCACTGGTCGCGTCGAGGAAGAAAGCGCGAAAGTAGCGGCGATAGTCTATCATAGATGTTAGTCGATCATAGCACTCTTCTAAGCCTGCAGTAGCTCTCTCGTAGGTGTACTTACTCTTGGCTACAGTCTGGATGAAGCTGGCTAGGATGAAGCTCATGTAATAGCCAGGATAAAAGCCGTGCCAGAGCGCACTAGTACTGAACGTGAGAAGGCTGGCACGGAATCCGGGCTTTTTACCAACAGGCGTAACCCGAAGGTATACATAGTTCCTCAACCAATTGTTGGTGTTGATGTTCCAGTTGCCAAGGTAGGCGCGCGTGTTCTGGGCTGTCTCGACGCCCCAAGGGTTGATGTTTTGTAACCTGTTCCATGATACTTTACCGGTGACAGGATCAACACCATTATAGCCCAGGCCGGCCAAGATACAGGCGCCCTCGGTCAGGCACCAAACTCCATAGTATTTCAAACGAGCGGTAAATCCGACCATGTGGAGAATCCATACCCTGTGGAAGAACCCATGATCCATGTACGAAGGACTCGTTAAGTAGGTGATTGGGTAGTAACCAGAGAGAATCATGAAAAGCGCAATCCACCCCAGACCACTGGCAGCTTTCAAGGTAGCAGGTGTCCCACTGCGAGGGATCTTCCTCTTCTTCCTGACAGGAGGCTTCTTTGAGGGATCGACTTGGGCCGGAAGGTCAAACATTGTAGTGTCTATCCATTTGCGATAGTCGGTGTAGTCAAAAGCAGGTCCGGCGAAGAGCGAAGGAAAGAAGAGTACGTACCCAGCATAGTCCATGATACTGGGTAGCTCGATCAGTCTTCTCTCTTTTTGGTACTCAGATACCTGGTCGTCCGGGAGCTGACCGTCCGCGACGTTCCAGCAGAAACCGCTAAGCTTCATCAAAAGCACCATCTGGGCGCCAGTGATATCGACGGAAGACGGGCTATTGGTTACTTGACGAGCGATGTGACTTATGGACATGTGGCCCATGAGAAACGTGAAGCCGACCCATGGCATGAATGGGCTGGTGCGCATGTACTTCGCAATGCTGTAGATGCCGGCAGAGGCAATAGCAAGGGTGCGCACTCCATCCCACAAATCGAAAAGCCCGACAAGATAGAAAGTAGAGGTGCTAGTCCAAGAGTCGAAGTGTCAACGACAAGACCAGTTGGAAGAGACAAAGGAAACAGCTTGGGTATCTGCTGGGTAGCATACCTTATTATGAAGAGGTTTTTGAGGTCAGGCCTGGAGTCGGGAACTCGTTTGAGCAAGCCGGCTAACGGATATGATATGAGGAACGAAAAGACGAGCTTGACTGGAAGTCGTGATGTCAGTGCTGGTGCTCTATTAGGGACGGGGCTTCGTAGAGCTTTGCGATGTAGCCGAGCTTGATGGGATGGACCGACGTTCGTCTGGAGATGCGCCGATGCGCGAAGCAAGAAGCTCGAAAGCTACAGAGGCAAGCAAAAGTTAGCAAGAGAGGCTTCAGTAGTGGAAGAAGCCGGCATAGGTAGAATTAGCAAGGTATTGGTCGAGGGTGCACTTTACGTACGCTTATGGATGAAGGGCAACATATTGGCTAGAACTGCCGTTGCCACTTATCGAATAGATCCGACAACGACGACAAGGTGCAAGGCTGACATGCAGTAGGAGAAGACGATGAAGTTACGCTTAGGCCATATCTCTTTGAAGATGAGTTAGAGGAGAAGCGAAACACCGAGAGGTGGAGGCTCGGAGAGATCGACCTTGCGCCGAGGGAAAATAAGCGATTACTTGGGGAGTTGTCGAATGAGGTTTTTTGACTCTGGTGATGGATGTTGGGATCATGTGGCGGCGTGCCAACTTCGGATGACGGGGCGGGAGCTAAGCGGGCAGGAGACAGCTGGTTATGCCAACACAGCTATGACTGCGGATCGTCCTAAAGAAAAAAAAACACGAACAGCAGCTTCGTGTGACGGCTGGAATGGCACGTGGACCTGTTGGCGATGGGCTATTGTCAGATCGCAAGGGGGAGGGGACGGTAAAGGCATCCCCTGGAACTTCTACCCCCACTTACTGAACAACGCCAACGGATTTCCTTGCCTCCTCTCATTAGAAGAAACATTAAACTTCGGAGAGAGAGAAGAAAAAATAAATCCTATTTTTCTAATATTATTAAAAACTCTCTTTTTAATAGAGAAAAAAATTAATACGAAATTATAATTCTTTTTACTTTATAAAATTTATAATAAGAAATCTTAACTTATATTATAAGCCACAGTACCTATATTTCATAAATTATTAATAAAAATACGAGAATTTCGAAATATATGTTTAATTAACTTATACTACTCTAAGTTTGCCTTATGTGGTTTTCCGAGGCTACGCGCTAGAGGAAGCTTGGAGCAGTGTCCACCCTAACGTACCGTGGAGTGTGATGTCACGGGTCTTGATGACTGGTAACTACATACCTCAGGTATGTTCTACCTTACTTCATACAGTTTTATAGAGAGCCCCACGGGCATCAGTTCCAATCTTTTCAACAAGAACCACTATTGCTTCCTCCCTCACCTAAGATTGGGGAGTTAAGTAATGAGTTACCTTAGGGTAGCCTAGCAGTTCAGGTGCGAAAGACACCTAGGTCGTCAAGCCATCTAATCAAAACATGTTGATGGCTCGCATTTCTCTCTTGAGGACCGTTTACTACTTCAAATCCCACGAAGCAAGCTGCCCCCCTCTAAGCTTTGACGTGGGTACGTGGGGCGCTGTCAGCGTCGCAATTTTCTTCAACCGATTGGGGCGCCTCGGAATATTCAACATCTCAACCAAACTCACCGCCACCTCTTGTTGAATCAATCGTTATAATGGATCGCAGATATGTCGCCCCCTGCCGACCATTTCCTAACGGGAATATTGTCAGGGCCTGTGTGGAATCAGTGTCATGGCATTACAACATTGCTACATACTCCATAGTACTGTGCTATCGTTCCACATTCATTTCGTCAGCAAACGAAATGTTGCAGTATTCTAACGCGCCTTTTCGTATCTTATCATCTCGTGCTTCTCCTTTTTCCGCTCTTCCGCCCACATCCCAAAGGCTGAAGCATGCATCGTGGCACAGGTTTTCTTGTCTATTCTGATCTCAAGAGCAGAGCGAAGCCGAACCTGGCCGAGTTCGAATTGTATTGCGCCCTCGGCCATCACTCCCACACGGCTGTCCAAAATGGGATAGATGACGGCCGTCATCAGCGTGCCACCAACACAAGGTTCTCACGTGGACAAGCTGCGCCCAAAACTTGCCTCTATTCCGGCAACCTTTCCATACTAGCAGCCACTACTTGTTTGCATCCCTATTGCTTTGCGAGCTCGCGCTCATGGGTTGTGTCGTCGGCAATGACATCTTGGAAGCCTCCGTCTGACGAATCCTTGCCCACGCGTAGACAATACCGCTGATGAAGCCAACAACAATAGCCGACACACTGCCAAATGTGACAGGGGCGTCGAAGAAGACCAGACCACTGATGGCGATGGGAAGCTTGTTGAGCGCGCCAACCACGGAGTACGTCGTTGACGAGGTCACACGAATGCACCATGCAGAGCAGTAGGATATGAAAATGGCGCAGAGTCCCGAGTAGATCATGCCGACAAACAGGCTGTTGCGCGACTCGACGGGGAAGTTCTTCTCGATGTTTGCCGAAGACCAGTCCTCGGCAAGGAATGTGCAAACGATTAGGACGGGAATCGTCAAAAGGTTGTTGTAGAACATGGCTTTATAACACACTCGTCAGCAAATTCTGCCAATCAGTGGGGAACGCCTGAACGTTCAGGGCAACTCACTGTCCCAGTCCTTGAAGTTCATCTTCTTGATAACTTTGCGCATGCCCAGCACATAGGCCGCAGTGCAGCAAACGTTCATGCCCATCCACGCGTACCCAGCGTTCAAGGTCGAAACGGCGGCAGAGGCTTCGGCAGACTGCGAGCCACCTCCAAGAGCATGCTGGACATCAGCCCAGGCGGCAACAACGGAGCTGAGGACCATCAGGCCAAAAGAGAGAAGGGCAAGAGGGCTAACACTGCCGCCGAACCACAAAACCTCGCCGTACGCGATGACGATGATGGTCAAGTTCTTGAAGATGGTGTATACCGGCACAGAGAGAAATTGCAAGGCCTTGGTGCCCGTGTAAATCATGCCAACCAGGAGGAGTGCGATAGGGAACCCTGCAGATAGTAAGCTTTGGCCGATGCCTGCATCACGTGAGACGAGACCAACATTTCTTTGCCTTGTCAGTGTCGAATGGCGCCAGGTTCGTAATCATTCCGAGGTTCTTGCACACGATAATGGTAAGGATGCACACGATGGACTGGATGACAGGGCTGAGTTAGAGGTGGTCGTGACTGGGGATTTGCCTTTGGATAGAACGCACCTGGACAGCAAGGTAAAGAAAGTTGAGGTTCCAGAACTGGCCTGAAACAACATATTTGTTGACGACTGTCATGCTGATGGAAGAGAAGCAGTAGGCGAGAATGGCAGCGCCGGGACTGTTGTCAATCTTGCTGATTGGCGATCCCAGAGTAGGACGCGGCCTTGGAGGAGGCCGAGCCAGAAAGCCATCCTTCTCTCCAAATGACTCGGAGGGGCGGAGCTCGTAATCCTCGTTCTTCTTGTCCGACATGATGGCGCTTGATGTACAATTGTCTAGACGGTATGTCAAGTTGGCAGTGGAAGCAAGCTGGCTTCAACGGGTTTGGCGCGGGATGCAGCCGTAGAGCTTGCGAATGCGCCGAGATTCGGTAACGGGGAGAATCGTGTATGAACGGCCTCGCGACTTCGACGAGGTAGAAGGTAGTGATGGGTTGATCGAGTCGTAGCTGCGGTCCTTCACGCTTCGTTGTCTGCGGACGCGGTGATCTGGCTCTAGGGGAAGCGTTGTTGAAGATCTGGGGTCAAGAAAGAAAACGGAGGTTAAGGGGGTCAAATGCTCTTGGGCATTAATTAGAACGAACGGGACGGGAACGCAGGGGAACACGCGTGCGCCTACCTATCAAGGGTCACGGAATTTCATCTCAGATTGGATGGCCTTAGTGCTTTCTACAGGCCAGGTGGAGAATTTCGGGGCACGTAAGCTCCCCAAATACCGCCCGCGACAGCCCAGTCAAGGAGCCATGAAAGTATCTTTGGTAAGAAGGGATGAATGCAAGGGACCACTGGACACCTGGCAGACCCAGGGGTGCACCATTCCAATTCGACCACAGGGCACAGTAAGGGAAAGTGTCACGCCGCCTCACCCTGTCCCTTTTTCCTCCTGGTTTTTTCCTCTTTGCTTTTCTTCTTATTCTTCAGAACTACATAAGGCAAGACCGTGAGGTTGGCCCCTGGCGCTGTCTTTCGGGATGATGCCTACCTATCCGTATATGCCTAGGTAAGTGAGATATTCGCACTACTTTCTTGTAGAAGAATATCCCCGATGTCTGGCAAAGCTTGAAGCACCGAGAACTCCTTGCGCATTGCAGTTTACGAGAGACTGGAGCCACCGTTCGCATCTTCGCATCTTCGCATCTTCGCCATTGAAACAGAAAAACGAAGAACTCAAATTTCACTATAACTCGGTACACAACTCCTACGCAGTCACCTGGCCAGGCGCATCCTGCCCAGAGTCGGCCATGCTTTCATCGTGATCTGCTCGCGCCTCCTTTCCCTCCCCTTCATCAGGCGGAGAGGGGAAATTCAGATGTTTCCAATCCTCCAATTCTTCGGTGACGGACCGCAGCCTATCACGAATACTCTCTATTGCATAGCTCCCCAGAAGGAGCCGCAGCGGGGGGTACGAGCAATGAGCTAATTGCCAGACGAGCTCCGCGCACTTGACGGCGCTTGTCGGCTGCCGGTCACCGAGCCACTGAACCATTCTTTTTGCATGCAATGCTGGTGATGTTGCCTGTGCGTAGGCATCGCTCGCAGGCTTGATGAGGAAATGACCCCAGGTTGGTAAGGGCGTCGCAAGGGTATCTGGCTCGTCCCTTCTCACGAACCCTGGCTCTACGAGTGTTGCCTTGACGTTGAATGAGTCTGTCTCGTAAAGCATAGCTTCTATGAGTCCCTCGACGGCATATTTGGTGGCACAATAGGGGCCGAGGCCTGGAACACCCAGAGCTCCTGACGTCGAGCTGAAAATCAGGTAGCGGCCGCCGTTTTGTTGGCGAAAGTAAGGTAGGCTGGCTTGGATAATGTTCAAAGTGCCCATGAAGTTCGTCTCGAACTGATTGCGGATCTCGTGCTCGTCCTGGTCCTCACATGCTCCAATTACGCCATAGCCAGAACAGTTGGCTACGACGTCAAATCGCTGAAACCGCTCCAAGGTCCGTTCAATGACCCGCGCTACTGAGTCTCTCGCTCGAACGTCACACAGCATCCCCAAACAATTTTCATTGTCCTGCTGTGCTACCATTTCCTCCGGCGTCGTCTCGAACACACGGCCCACGGAAGTGACGAGATCTCCTTTGGACAAGGCGGACTTGACAAGAGATCTACCCATGTGGCCGGTTCCACCAAATACCTGCACAGGAAGTGCTCAGTCAACGTCAGAAAGTAACATGAGGGTGTCCCATCACTTACAACCCAGACCAGCTGCTTTCTCTCGCCGTCAAGTTGTGGTGGATCACAGCTAGCTGGAAGTTGAAGCTTCACTCTTGACGGTCCATCCGCGGGAGTCGCGCTGTTCTCGCTACACACGTCCATCGCGCTCGTTTCACAGACACTGAGTGGTATTGCGAGCTCTACGTAGCTCTACAGATAAGCTCGCGGCCTTTTGGCAGTCGGTATGGAAGCAGTCTCCAGAGGGGCAATCGTTGCAGCTCGTTCGTTACGGAAGAGAGTTACTAGATGCACTATTGACGATAAGATGTAAGGAAAGGGAACGGTAAAATGCCGGTGGCTTTATAAAGTGAAGATATCCGAGCCATTAAACCAATATAGGGTAAGACAAGGTATGAAGAAGAAACGTAAATCGAATGCGAGATTTCAGCTTGCTCAGTGCATCCACGTGTGAGACGAGGTGAAGGTTAAGGTAAGAATTGGTGGCCTTGGGGAAGGCCTACCCGAGCAAGGTACTTTTGCCTGCTCCAATGATACTGAGACCGATGAGGATGTGGTTGTTGAAGGCCGCAAGGTGACCAGTGCTGATTGCTGAATGAGCCCGGCGATTTCGGTAGATGAGTACTGGTATATCCGTACCCCACTTCCCCATATCCCCTTTTCAATCCCGGTACATGCATGAGCGGCTGGGTAACTGTATAATTAACAGCATGTCTCTCACTCTCCATGCATCTAAAATTAGCTTCTGATGCTGGTTTTCACGATCCTCAGCCACAGGATGAATGTCGGATGATTATCGCATCGGCTCCTCATGACCGTCAAGGTAGGTGGGTAGGTAGGTAGTGCTGGATAGGCCACTCCCATTCTCCGCTGTGTACTGGTTCCAGCAGAGCAGTGCTTGATCTTACGGGTGAGCGGCCTTTCACCGTTGGCATCTCGGGGTTGGCAAGCCGGTCTTCATGTGATGGAGGAATCAGACAACAGGGACAAATCTCGTCAGACCTTGTTGTATTTGCGCCGTGCAGTAGAAGGAGATGTCAGTATAGGCATTGCCCAGTCTAGCGCTTGTCTGCCAAGTCGTACATTAGTCAAAGAGGTGCCTTCACAGCAAGACTTGCTGTACTCGGAAACATGATTAGAGTGCAAAGGATCCCGCAAGTGACACGAATCATCTCCATACTCCCACTAGATATCTTATCCACATGCTTCGCTCATGCCCACAGACTCTCCCACATGTACCATGTCCTTGGCTGGTTGTTCATGCTGACACGCCGTTCTGAAGGTATTGCTCAACATATTCTTTCCTGTGCGGATTCACATCAAGATCCTTCGTCCTGTTCAAAGGGGTCCACTTGGGCTCATCTTTGAAGAGCCTCATTGCCTTGATGTACTTTTCACTGTTAGCAAACTACACAACATCTGGGTACATGCACTGCTTACGTTCGACTCGTCGGTTGTAAAGCGGTGGTAGATGCCAGGAGGCAGGATGATTAAGTCGTCCTGCCAATGGTCAGCTGGTTGCAGCGCCATTTGCCGACGAGCATGGCGATATTACCTTCTCAACACGGATACGAACCCAAGCGTCATCGGCGCTTCTGACGTCAAAGAACCCTTGACCGTCGCGAACATAGCGAATTTCCTCATCCTCGTGCAAGTGCTCGTGGAAGAAGGATTTAACCTTTTCCTCATAGATCTCGCCCATCTTCTCTGGCGACACAACAATCTCGTCTCGGTTCCTATAGCCGCGGTCCGAAGCCAGCTGGTTGACCCCATCCAGATTGGGGATTTGGTGGTAAAAGACACCAAGCTTCTTCAGATCTTCGACGGTAACCTCCTTGCCAGAGTCATGTGCCAGGCGCTGGTCACCCTATGGTGTCGTTGATAGTCAGTGGTTAATTATTGCCGACGACTCAAGCTTTGGTCATTTTGAAGATTTAAAGAAAGGCTTCTTCTCAACTTACATCAAGGCCGTCATACCAATAAGCCCTCATGTTGGTGAGTGGGTAGTGTATCGCAAGCCTGAGAGCTGTGCGTAAATGAGACTTGGAGGTTTTGTATGCCTGTATAGATGGCACTGTAAGTATTTTGTATCAAGAATATTCCGCAAAGTAGAATATCAAAAGATTCTGTGGTTGGCAACAGTATTGAGCTGGTATTACTTCGATTGCGCTCTGGAGGCAGTAATGAGGTCGGGTTCACTTTTTGTATTTGAAATGACGCAATTGGCTCAGCAGGTGGGGTCATTAGAAGAGGTGCTGAAAATGAAGCGTGTCGTTGTCCGTCCATCCGTATCTATCCGTACGGACCTGGTCTACCTCTAGGTACCTTAAGGTAAGTCAGGTAGCACGTGGGCGGGGCTGCCATAGGTCATTCCGGCTGGACCCCACCACCGGCGCGCGGCAGCAGCCCGGCCTTCCTTTGCGACCGCGCATGGAAGTCAAGACGGCCGGAGTCGGAGCCAAAACCATCGCTTGAAATGTGAATTGGCTACCTCAAGGGAACTGAAGAAACAGCAATGCCAGCCGAAGCATATTGATTCACGACATATTAGAAGAGGAGACGCACGTTGCGAAGAGAACATGGATAACAATGCATGAAACACTTACGTTGACATGTGCTTTCGCCTGGCATAACTGTCGGGTGGAAGTTAGCTCCAAGGTATCTATGCTTCTATGCTTATGGCGAATTCAAGCCTGAGGTGCTTCGTTGATGAAGATCATGCATGGATACAAAGACATGTGCCGCTTAATGGCGGTATTGATACCCCAACGCCAAGAACCATGCAAATATTGCTAATCCCACCAGCTTTTCCGTCTCCATGTTCTCTTCGCAACGTGCGTCTCTTTGCCCAACATGTCCCGTCATCGTACATCAGCAGCAAGCTCTGGGCCTCCGGCAATGGCAATCTCGTTGTTGATGCCATCAGCTGTTTCCTCCACCTGCCGCCTCTCGAAAAGCCTCCTCCACCAGCCTGGAGGGTCGAAAGGACGCGACCCATTGTGCAAAGGCGGGTATACATCAGTAAAGAAGTACCAGATGTGACCGATCACCACGCCCATAATTTCATCCTTGGGAATAGAGCCATGGAGGATAAGACTGAAGGCCATCAAAACCCACGGTAAGTAGGGGGCTGTGAAGACCAGCAGTCCAAGGAAGCTCAATCTCGTATCCGGGTTACGCCGCGACCAAATATAAACGAGAGTTGAAGAGAGTGGGTGCCCCAAGAACGGCATCGAGACCAGTGGCGACAAGAGAAGAAGACTCGCCATGGAGTAAACGAGCAACCAGGAAAAGTGTGCTGGGGAGCGGCCAGAGGACTCCTCGAGTAATCGCGCGTAGCGCTGAAGGAAGTAGACGTGGAATAGCAGATCGAGCGAGAATGGACCGAAGTAGAGGAACGTAGTAAGAAGACGCCAGTACTATGAGGGACATTCAGAGTGATCAGCAATAGTTCAAATGTCTTCGGGGGAGAGAACTAGACTGTGGTGGGGTTGCAATCAACGCCAACACATCAACAAATGAAGAATGGGAGAGTTAGGCGAACCTGGGATTTGGCGAAGACAGCGCGAAAGCTGTAAAACAACTGAAAGGGAGTGACCATTTGACATTGTACGAGAGCGCTAGTCAGAACGGTAGCAGTCGTCCACCATCTGGTGCAAATGGGCATTTCCCAGAACCACGTCTCAAGGGGGAATCGGCCCCCGTCACCCATCATCTGGTCCATGCTGCGTAACGAATTGGGACGAGAGTGCTTCAGAGGCGAAGATGCGTTGACAAAGAAGTTGCCCTCATTGCCTGCTGTGCCGGAGCTGTGCGGAAACAGAAGGGCGTGAAGTGCCGTCTAAGTATCTTGGTCGTCTAAGCGTGTAGCTAGGTTGAGGGGTTGCAAAAGCGTCGGGGACGACGGATAACACCACGTTTGCGATGCTTGTCGACAGAAGAGACCGAACGACTGACCGTGACTACACGGAGAGACGTAGTTGAATTTGCAATGAATTGTCAGATAAGTCGCCGGCTTGGGAAGCGACTGAAGTTAGAGAGGGTGGGAGCACGACTGGTCGCTTATGAGGTAGTTAAGTTACGAGTCTGGAGAGGTGGCCTCTGAGTAACGTAGGTAGGTACCTAGCGAGTAGGAATTAGGTAGGCACGGTTGGCACCTTGAGCGCTGACGAACGGTTGATGCCGGTGAATTTACTGCTGGAGGTGAAGTGGGGAGTGGAGACAGCTTGGCAACCAGTACTTAGCAACAGTAATCAGTCCCTTGTAAACTGGTGCCGTTCCTTCCCACAAGGTACCTTATTCACGTATCCGTATATCCACATCACCTTACCTAGCGCATCACGTGCCATCAGTAAACCCAAGGGTGTGGAAAAGGACCCCATCAGCCTCACAGTGCCGACTCCCAAACAGACAGCCCTGCACAGCAAGTGGTGCAGTACGCGTAAAGTGGCCTGGCGTAGCTAGGACACGCGTTAAGAAACACGCGAAACGCGTCCCGACTCAATTTCCCTGAAAATCGCGGGGCTGGTAGCGCACTCCGGCTCAGGTCCTATCGGAATGGGAGAGTGGCTCGATTACATCCGCTACTCCTTCAACACCACCATGATCACCTCCGAGCTGCAATCTCGTCCCGGCTTCTAATCCGTCAAGCATAATAGATGAAGCTCAGTTGACCTTCATCCTTCTGTCCCTACTGTCGCAATCCCTATTGAGAATTTCCTACGCCGCCTTCGCTCTCGCAACCTTGTCTTGGCTATCGCACTTGCCCGGCCCTCCTTTGGACGCGCACTTCGCCCCTTTAGTCAAAATAAGGATCCCCCGAGCAGACCTCTACAGAACAGACTTCGGAAAACGCCGCCCATCGCCATGCCTCCGAAGAAGAGACAGTCAGACGCTGTGCGTCGCAAATCACGACAGAGCGATGTCCAACGTAAAGATTCTGTTACCCCGGTCGTGCAGGACGGGTGCTGACGAGGAACAGCTGGCGATCCGATCCCCAATCGAGGCAAGCGACGCTACAGACCAGGGACGGTTGCTCTTAGGGAGATCCGGAGATACCAAAATGGCACCGACCTTCTGCTGCGACGTCTTCCCTTTTCACGTCTCGTGCGTTCAGACCCAGTCAATACTCTAGGACGCGACAGGCTAACCGTTCCCTCTAGGTTCGCGAAATTGCCGAGTCGGTGAGGCCTCGAGGCGAAGCTATGCGATGGCAGTCACAAGCAATACAAGCACTGCAAGAAGCTGCCGAGGCTTTCTTGGTTCACCTTTTCGAAGATACAAATCTCTGTGCAATCCATGCTAAGAGGGTCACCATCATGCAAAAGGATATCCAGCTTGCAAGGCGCATTCGCGGCGTATGGGGTGGCCTCGGCTGAAGTTACCAAGGTTAACGAGGACTACTGATCTATGGGGCTTCTTACGATCACCGAGCCGCCTTGGTGAATTCCTGGGGCCGCCCTCTGGGCATTGCTCGCTAGATTTGCGAACACGCGGGATCCTTCCCACGAGATGTATAATTTCTCTGGCTTCTGTTTCTGTTATCTGTTATGTCATGGTTGTGCGGATACCCCTTCTGGGATGGCGGTTTATTCTTGAAATTTTATAGGGGGTGGGGAGTTCGTGGCGTTGGCGATGCTTCTTTGTTACTTGAATGTCAACACCTTTTGTGTTGGCCATGCGGTGTGACTTAGAAGGAAGGTTACGTCAGAGGATAGGAAAACACCAAGGCACCGAGGGGCCAATTTTTGACGCCCTCGAGTAACGAGGTCCTTCAAATTAGCAACCAAACAGAATCACTCACGGTTCCTAAGGTGCCTAGGTTACGTAGCTAACGGCGCGTCGCCGGTACGGGTCACCAAGCTTGCCGAGTATACCTAGTTCCTCAATTCGTTTCCGCAATCTACGTTCCAGACCGCCACGTTTATAACGCACGTCAGGGGCGTAGCTGAGGTTGTGATGTTGGAAGTCGCCCGACCAAAATGCCTGTATTCAACTGTACCTCATTCGCAAGGTCATGGAATGTACCGTGTCATAGGTGCTTATGTAAAGAAGAGCAACAGAAGTATGAGACTAGTAGTACCTTACCTAATGGAGCGTAAATCAATGATCGTAAGGGCACGTAAGAAAGGTGCACATCATGAGCGTGCTAAGGTACGACTTTTCGTTTGCAAACATATTCTCATTTAGTCTCTCCCTCCTTCCTCCACCACCTGCAGCAACGTTGGTTGACTTCGCTTTCCATCAGAGCTTAAACGTTCCCATGAGCGGCCTCCTTTCAGCAAGATTTGCCGGTCGGCGCCTGGCTTGGCCGATCGGCGCTGGCTTTTGCGTCACCTACTCACTTGTCCATCGACAAACGCCTGGGAACTTTGGCTCTCATCTCGCCTCAACCGCGGCATCGCCCAATCGCGCGCAAGATCGCCGTTCATTCGGTAGCTTGAATCCAGAATCGATGAGACAGCTTTCGCGCGGCAGCATCTATGGTATGAGAATTATATATCCCGAACGGGCATATCTTGTTAATACTGGTATAGGATTTGGAGTTGGACTTCTGGTCGGCTTTCTATCTCACACTCTGGCTCTGCTTACCGGCCTAGCCATGTTCACCGTTTACGTACTTGCTGCCGCTTCCCAGGGAACTCACTCGTCGGGTTATGGTTATTTGAATTCGGTGCTAACAATCGTTCCATAGCTTGCGCATCGATATGGCTTAGACTTGCCCCAGCTTCTGGGCTTGAAGAAACATCTAAACAAGGCCATTCTGACAAAGCCTTTTCACAATGCTGTTTTCCGGCTATCTTTCGCAGCTACCTTTACTCTCGCCGCCTTTGTCCGCTTTTAGGTCTGGTAACCTCAGAAAGGTTGCGTCTCCCGTGTCAGCCACGCTAGGGTCAAGGGGTCATTCTGGAAATAATCCTTCGTTTTGTGGAAGATTTCCGCGTTGTGCTTGTTGAGCCACGCCTTCTCTTCCACTGTCAGGAGACTGGGGTCAATCAAATTCTGGCAGTATGGGACCATAGTGACGTGCTCGAAGCCCAAGTAGGGCTTGTCGCCAAAAGAATGCTTTGTCTTGACTTCGGTTACCATTGCGACATTCTCGATCCGAATGCCATATGACCCGTCCTCGTAAAATCCTGGCTCGATAGACACTACGTTGCCTGGTGCAAGAGCGACTTCGGCAAACTGGACTCTAGTGCCGATACCGATAGGGCCCTCATGTACGTTGAGGTACGACCCAACACCATGGCCAGTTCCATGACGGTAGTCGAGGCCCTCTCTCTGGGGCGCAAGCAGTGTTAGTTACCCATCTCTGCTGGTCGAGGCTGCGATTTAATACGTACCCATAGGTGCTGGCGAGCCAAGCAGTCAAGCGCAAAGCCAGTTGTGCCTTTGGGAAATATCGCAGTGTCCAGCGCAATGTTCCCCTTCAGCACCAAGGTATAGGCGAGCTTCTCCGCTTCCGTAGGTTGTCCGAAGTGCAAAGTCCTTGTTGTGTCGGTAGTTCCGTCGAGGTACTGCGCACCAGAGTCGCACAGGTAAATGGCATTGGGGTCAATGGTGCTGCATGCCCCTCGCTCCGGCTTATAGTGAATCACAGCGGCGCTGGAGAGATGTTAGCAAGAGTTGGAATGGTTGGTGTCTCATAGTGCCACCATAGTCCAGGTAGAATATGTTCACTAGAGGCAAGAGAGGTCCAAACTCACTTCGCACCAGTCGATGAAATGGTGTCAAATGACAAGCCGACGTAATCTTTCTGCTTTGCACGCAGTTGTTCGAGTTTGTCGCCTGCCTCAACTTCGTCCAACTTCACTTTCTTGGCCACAAGCTGGTCTTCCAGCCAAGCAAAGTACTCGATCAAAGCAGCGCCATCGCGAATGTGACAAGCCCTCATTCCAGCCATCTCGTTCTTATTCTTGACAGCCTTGGAGTCCCCGATAGGACTTCGTACCTCGTCAACTTGACCGTCTCCACCCAGGGAGCGCTTCAATGCCCAAGATGCCTTGTTGGAGATCATGAATCTCTGAGATGTGGTTCCAGTTGCTGACTCGGTCGATTTAACCTCGGATCGTAAAGCGTCAATTGCATCGAAGATGGCTTCGTAAGGCTTAACAGCCACGTCATTCTCCGCAAGATAATCCCGGGTCTCTTTTCCAAGCTTGGTATCGTCAACATAAAGGGTTGCTGAATCGGGAGTAATGATTGCATATGAGAAGAAGACGGGATTGTAGGGAATGTCGTCGCCGCGGAGATTGAAGAGCCAGGCAATCTCGTCGAGCATTGACACAACAAAGGCAGGTGAGTTCTTCTTTTCCAGCTCCTGGCGTAAGTCCTTGAGCTTGCTCTTGACGTCCTTGCCATTGAACCTCTCGGGCAGCACTTTGACGGGGTTCTTGGGGCGAGCCGGGCGATTAGCAGCCCACACAAGATCCACCAAGTTGTCATCCAAAGGTAGCAGATCACTACCGCCAGATCTCTTGACCTTTTCAGCGAGTTTCTTGGCTACGGAGCCTGTGATGAGTTTGGCGTCAACACCGACAACCTTGCCGCCACTAGACTGTTCAGCAGACCATTCTTGCCATGTAGGAACATCTTGGAGACCTTGCTTCAAGAGCAACCAGTTTTGATCAAGCTGCTTCGAAGCTTGGTTGAAGTATCTTCCGTCGGTAGCCAGTGCAGCCTTGTCCAAGGTTACGACAGCGCAGCCGGCAGAGCCACTGAAACCAGAGATGAATTCCCGGCGAGCATCGCAGCCAGCGATGTATTCGGAGGCATGGGAGTCTTCAGAGGGGATGACTACACATTGAAGAGCAGGGAATCAGTGACGACGCTACAACAACGCAACCAGCAGAAGATTGGCTTGCAGTGATTTGTCCATACCGTAAACATCGACCTTGCGCTCCTTCATCAGCTCTCTGAGCCTTGAGAGGCGGCTGGTTGTGTCAATTCGCTCCATATCGAGGGCTGGGACTTGGTGTAGTGCTCGATGGCCAAGGCCAGGAGAAGATATATGAAAGCCGGCGGATGATGCAGCGGGCGGGGGCCAGACGCTGACGCTGCTTGTAGGGATTCGAAAGCTGGTTCGGCAGACAAGACAAAAGGCAGGGCGAAGACTGGTCCTGAGCATGAGGAGAGAATGCTGGAGGTACGACCAGGACGGTGGGCGCGTGTGGTCAATTTCACTAGGAAGCGGAGGTTAAGGCAAAGGTAAATGGGATACCCGATGTGGCTTGACCTGCGCGGGGACAACTAACTCCACGGGCAGCGTCGGGACAAGTAAGGTCGGTAGGCAGGTAATGGAAGGAGCTGACCGTGACGACTCCACGTTTGGACAATGCTGCAGCTCAGGCCTGGGTGCAGTAGGTAAGTTAGTCCTGCCTACCTACCTGATAGTGTGGGCCTGGACGACAGATACATACAAATGCACACCAGCTCTCCTTCCATAAAAGTGAGTAGTGCCCCGCACCAGCTCATGTTCAGACCTGAGGGAGGGGCAGATTTCCGTTACTGCCCGCCCTTCTGTGTGGTACCGAAGACAGCGGGGGCCTGTGTAATAGGCAGCTGGAGCATGTGGCGTGGTGAGGTGGCACGTGGGTGGCATGGGCAGATACCAGAGCACTTTGTTAAGTGCATATGCACCTTAATTGGGTCAGTAAGTCGGTCACCTTCAAATGCCTTAGGTGAATACTCATGCCTTGCACAGAGGTATCTACCAGTTGCCTACTTCCCAAGACTTTTAGTCACCTTAATCGCATAAACGGAACGTGAGCTACCATTCTTGCCAATGGAAGGGGATTATTTTGGATACCTAGGTGTCGTTGTTGTAACTTGTTCGCAGGCAATGCCAGGTTATCCGTAGAAATTAAAACAATAAATCTTCTTCTATCCGTGATAACTCGTATCACTGTCTTTCTTTTCCCTCTTCCCTTCCAATAGAAAAAGACGTTGTCCGTTCTTCACCAGGTTAATTTGTCGCTCGTGTCATTTGGTCCTCCAGGCGAGCTGACCCACCCTCATCTTCTCCGAGCTTTCTCACGCTTCACTCTGGGCACTCGGCCTGCATTCTATGTTTACCCAGAGCCTCAACTTCAAATTGAGACGCTCAACCATAGCTCCAAGCTCTGACACCGCCATCCATCCTGCGCCCGCCTCTTCACGTCGAAGCACATCTTCATCATTGAGTAGATAGTTGAGTGCCAACATGAGAACAAAATCGACAAATATTTGAGTGCTTCATCCTTCCTCGCAAATATGGAACCTCAGCTGCCGTCTACCATACAAGAGGCAGAAGCCGTAAGTCTCGTACCCATCCTCGGCAAGATAGTGACTATGCTGACAGTCGCCTCGCAGTTAGTACTGGCTCTCTACGAACCGTCTCCTCCTGAGACCATTGCGCGCATCCAAGAGACGCTTCATCGCATGCAAAGATCCCCTTCCGGCTGGTGGATCGCCCGTGATCTCTTAGGCTACGCAGACGACAAGGTCAAGTTCTTCGGTGCCCTTACCCTGATCGTCAAGCTCAACACCGAAAGGTTGTATACCACCTCTCAATTTGGCCAGCACCGCCACTAATATCAAGATCAGCTCCTCACTGTCAAAGGAAGATGCATCAGAATTGCTACAGAATCTCATAGGCTGGTTTGTCAGGTCTCTGGACGACGGCTCCGGAGCCATGGTCGTCAGGAAGCTATCCGCAGCTTTGGTAACCTTTTTCCTATGCTTTCCCACCCAGTGGGAGCTTTGCATCCGTCACCTCTGTTTCTCTCTGTCCGAAGGTGTAGCGTTGCCCCAAGACCGAGTCGATGAAACCATCGACCTATCGAGCGTCCTGCAAACACTTCAGCCTCGAAATGTCCAGGCCGCACTATGGTTCTCAGGAGCACTAATAGACGAAGCAACAAAAGTGGAAATGAACTCGGCAAAACAGTGAGCATTGCAGCCTTTCTAATCCTAGTCTGTTCGCTAACGGCGCGGAAGCATGGGTTTGTATGAAAATCTCACGCGCAATGTTCCAGATGCTATGGTTCTCATGTCTCACGGATTTTCACGTCGAGGATCTTCAGATCCAATGAGCCACAGCTTACAGAAAGACACTATAACTTGTTTACAGGTAGGTAGTCACCTCGTTCAGACAACCGCGCGGATGCCTCATCTTTAGGGACAAGTTGCTCACCACACATCGTCCAGTCGTGGGTTTGGTTCTCTCAGAGGGTGTCAGCGCACAATGACGAGCTTGTCCACTCTCTTCGGGCTCTGGTTCAGCCTACGATCACAGCTCTGTGCGACGACGAATTGTACGAGGTGGCCGTGGAGTTGCTCTCCGAAATTCTGTCAAACTACTCGGGCTTCTTGACAGATGAACATTACGAATCTCTCTTTTCTCTCTTCGAGACCCAGTGGTCTCACGAGCGATACCAGCGTCTTGTCCAAGGGGACTTTGACTTTGATTCCGTTCAATTCGGGCAGCTCATGATCGCTCTTGGCGACTCAAAGGTTGAGGATCTCATTCACGGTGTGGATGCCCGCTCATCGCGTTTTGTCGCACATCTTCGTGGGCTCCTCTCTGCCCAAGGATATCCTGTCAGCGAGGACAAGATTTTCGTCCCGGCCCTCGAGTTCTGGTCCACCTATGTTGAGACATTAACAGACTGCATTTACTCGGAGGAAGAGGGCTCAAAGGAATGGGTCTCTACGGCTACATCCCACGTTCTGGAAGCTATATCGACTGTGTGGCAACGGATTGCATACCCACCTGCCAGTGTTCTTGCTGATTGGGATTCGGCTGACCGCGCCGGTTTTGGCGATGCAAGGAAGGATGTCGCTGACCTTCTTCAATCGACCTTTACCGTAACTGGACCTCCCTTGATTTCAACTTTCGCCAATCTGACTCTTCAGTCGTTGTCACCAAACTCTTGGTCTGACCTTGAGGCTGCAGCATTCTGTCTTGGATCCCTCGCCGATTGCGTAACTGGAGATGCCAGGTGCGACGAAAGCCTCAGAGCTGTTTTTTCCTCGCCACTATTCGAACTTCTTCAGACATCGAGTTCATCTATGCCAGGTCGCACTCGCCAGACCTGTATATCCCTGATTGAAAGATACTCCGATTACTTTGAGCGCGAGACGCAAAGCCTTCCAGCTGCACTGAATCTGCTCTTCTCTGTCCTCGCTGATCCCTTACTAGCTGGGCCGGCCGCAAAATCCATTTTACAGCTTTGTTCCTCGTCACGCTCCATCCTGGCATCAGAGGCAAGCGCATTCCTCAGTCAATATGAGGGTATTGCCGCACAAAGCCAGCTGGACTGTATGGCAGTTGAGCGAATTATGGGAGCCATAGCCGCTGTCATCCAAGCCGTCCCAGATGAGAGCACCAAATTCGACCATCTTAACTTCTTACTCTCGTTCGTCCAGAAAGACGCTCGCTTGTCAATGCATCTATTGTCCTTACCTAGACTCCAGAGCGACGCATCAGGCACCGGAACAGACATTCATCGCTGCTCGACGCTAGGCGATCCGTCGGAACTTCCCCTGCACATGGCCTTGAAAGCTCTGAGATGCCTCATAGGCATTAGTAAAGGCCTACAGGCTCCAGGCGACGTGCCTTTCGATCTAGACAGTGAGAAGGATATCCCGGCGACCGACAGCACCTCCAGACTCGGCCATTTGCAGTCTGGGATTATGTCAATGATAGTACAGCTTCAGAGAGCGTTCCCACAGAGCGACGAAATCTCCGAGAGCATTTGCACCATTTTCCGATCAGGGTTTTCCGAGTCGGACGCTGGCCCATTCGTTTTCCCTCCAGTGCTGGTATGCAACTACCTCACTGAACAGACACCTCAAACACCTCGAATTGGCTACTTTGTGAACACTGCTTGTTCTTTTCTCAGTTCACTAAGAAATATGAAGAGCGGTGATGTGGATGAAGTAAGGACGAAACTTCTCCGATGGGTCGTTACTTTACTACAGCAACAACCAGGTAAGGTCGCATTAGTTTCGATTCCAGGACCACGCTGACAATTTTGATGTAACAGAGCCAGATAATGATGTAGAGTTGGCGCAGAACGGGATTGAATTTACGAACCGCTTGATCTCGCGGGAGCCTGCGTCGCTGTTCCGACCGGATTGCCTCCCCCTTACGGAGTTTTTCTTCATCTACGCCTTACGGATACTAGATGGGCGCGAGCCACTTCCCAAAGCTGCAGCTGCGGATTTCTGGGTTTGTTCACCAATTCAGAATCATACAACGCTCAATTGTACTGACCAGCACTAGGCCACGTTCATGGCTCTGAAGCCCGCAGATGCGACGATAGATCACGCGATAGCTCAATTAGGCCCACTGCTAGCCCAGTCCATCGTTCGTAACATCGGCGGAACCGCCTCAAGGAGCGAACTCGACAGATTAAGTGAGCCTCTGAAAAAGATGGTCAGCAATCAAGCCAAAGCTCGTAATTGGCTTGAGCAAGCTTTGTCGGACCCATCATTCCCAAGCCAGCAGCTAGCTGGCGATGAAAAAGCGGTTTTCCTTAAGAAAATCCTGAAGTGGGTTTGACTTTCTTCGTTGAGAGTGTGGGAATATATTACTGACCATCTCTGACAGTCTTCGTGGAGCGAGGGGTACCAATCAGGTGGTGAGAGATTTTTGGCTTGCTGCGCGAGGCTCAAACTTCGCCTATGCCTCGTGAAGAGCATGTTCGAGAACTTGGAATCGTATAGGCAATGCCTCAACAGCCCATCGGCGTCCCTCCTTCACCCAGAGATGACTCCCACTGACGATGCACAACATCGTGGTTCACGGAATGAGAAGTAATGATACATTGTATTACAAATGTCCCAGCGCCACGACAACTTAAGGGGCGCCTCGTCAAGCTGTTATCAAGATAACGATGAGGCTTCACAGCCCCGTGGCCTCTCTCACTAGGGCCATTGTTTCGTTGGCATTGAGGCGGGCCTTGCTGGCACCCTTTGCTTCGACGGCATCGAGATATCGTCCCTCGTCAACAGACAGAAGCTCCATGTAGCGCTCACGGATTCCGCCAAGCCCCTCGACCACAGCCTTTGAGACGGCTTGTTTAAGATCTCTGAGAGAGGCATGAGAAAATGAGTCGGCGAGTTGAGCTGGGTTCCTGGCATGAACATCAAAAATAGAGAGGATCTCCAACAGGTTTGATACCCCCGGCCGGTTAGTCGGATCATAGGAAACATTATTAGAGGAGTCTGTCAATGCACTCATTATCTTGACGTTGATCTCTTCGGGCGTGTCGGTGATCAGGATACGTGACCTCGGGTCCCTTGCGGATTTCGACATTTTCTGGGTTGGTTGTTGCAACGACATGACCCGGCGTGTTGGTGCTACATCTTGTTAGGGAATTGGGCCCCGGAGATAGATGATGATAAGAGAGATAGCAAGGTAAACTCACATGTGATGGTCTCAGGAGATACCAAGATAGGGCCGAAGTTGTGATTGAAATTTGTTACACACTCGCGAGCAAATTCCAAGTGCTGTCTCTGGTCATCACCGACGGGTACATGAGTGGCCCTAAACGAAATGTTAGTCAAGTGCATTGCACCATGGTTCCCATGATAGCTGCAGGCGGCGGGTGAATGACGTGGAGCGCTTGGAGATATTGCCAAGTGCACGTACCGGTGGACAAGAATATCAGCAGCCTGCAGGACGGGGTACGAGAATAGGCCGAGCTTCAGCGAGGCTTTCGCACCTTCATCAAGAATGGTGGCATCATTTGAGAGTGACAGCTTGCTCTGTCAAGAAGGACCTGGTGTCAGTGAGTTATCCATTGATCAAGAGACGGTATAGTACTAGACCTTCCACTGTGTCATTCGTGACAAATAACCCATCGAGGCCGTACAGCTCAAGATCCACATGAGCTCGGAATGCGCCGGGACCTGATGTTTGGAAGGTCAGTCTTCGGGGTCAGGGCGGCTTCAGTGATTGCCCAAGTAAACGACTTTGGGTACGCATATATGTGTGAGAGACGGGGTGAGGGAGGCGCGGAGGGGTTCGTCGTAACATACAGATGATTGATAGAACAAAGTCGAGCGTTCGGGGTTGATACCTGCAGCCAACAGAGCTGCCAGCGTTTCCCTCTTCCATTGCCTGAGCTGCTTTGCGTTCTGGGGTACGGTGATAGCATGCAAGTCGACGACAGAGTAAACAAGTTTGCAGCTCTCAGAAGGCTTGGCTTGGAGTTGCACCCATTGACGGATGGCACCGGCGTAGTTGCCCAGGTGCGGTGTTCCCGTAGGCTGGATGCCCGAGAAAATGACTTGGTGATTCCCACTTGACGCGTTGCGGCGTCCGGCCGGAACCTTGAGCCGGTGGACTGCCCGCCTCGAATTTTGCCACATGAGAAAGAGTCGTATTGATATTCAGAGTAGAGAGGTCTGACAACGTTGTTTAATTCAGGGGAAACGAAGATTTCAGCCGTTATACTCACTTTGTGTGCTCAATAACGAGAATGGGCCCAAGATGTCAAGAGGCTAGGTAAGACCCGCAGATGGCTTTAACCCCCAGAGATAGTTGCAAGCTCAATGACAGTTCACATCTGCCAGCCCGTGTGCTCTGAATCGTTGGCGTACACAAACATGATAGGCCCACTGACCGAACGAAAGGTTTCAGCGCATGGGGCAATGGGCCGGTTATTTCCGTCCTGTCTATATTGCTTTAACGGGGTGCGATTGGCCACGGGTCTGGAGACACAGTTGAGGATTTCGTCATGATATGATGTCCAACGGCAAGCAGATCGCAGGCGCACAAGCCTTTGTGAACGACATAAGAATAGCAGTCTGTGGCCCAACGCGACAAGGGCCAGGTTTGATATTTATGATTTACAGAGGACACACTCACGACGGGGTCCCTTTCCAACTATTTAATACACTGACAGAGCCTTCTGTCATTCTTTTCTTTGGCTGCCCCCAATCCCCTCCCTAGGCCCGACACACCAGCTTACACGTCGACCTATGGGTGGCCGGAACTCTTAGACGTTCAAAGCTGCCTTCCTCTTAGCCGCCTCGCCTTTCTTCCATTGGGTCTGGAGGAACCGCCGCTCCCCCTCTGATCGCTTGCCACTGTCCTTATCGAACCGAACTGTAGCCAAAAACTCCTCTACTTTCTCAACTGTATCAAGCTCCCTGTTTTGACCTAGGTGGTTCCACTGCGAGTCAATTGCCTCAGTCGTCTCTGGATCAATGGCATCCATGGCCTTGCCGACACCTGGGAAAAGAATGACACGTTAACTCTTGCTTCAGACGAGCGAGCAGGGACCTGCTTGCACAACGTCTTCCGTTGTTGTGACCTACCAAGCTTTCCAAAGTCCCACACGTTGGCCTTCATACCAATGCCGTAATAGGCGTGCTTTTGGAGGAAAGCTAGCCACAACTGAACCGTCTCAGGATTTCCGTCGCGGATTTGAACAAGACGACGCATCGTTACACGCTCGAAGTTCTCCTGTGACTTTTTGAAGATGAAACTACTCCGAGGAACAGTCCATCGTTCAGTGATTCGAGGCAGTGGCACAGGGCCGAATGCTGGGAGCTTCAGGTAGTACGCTGCGCGAAGGGCAAAGTCGGAGAAGAATTCGAGGTTCCTCAAACTGTATGAGCGCAGCTGAAGGTCGCATGAAGGAATTCCGTACTCGGCTTCGCGACGTAATGGCTGGAGATATAGTGCCTGAACGCCTCGAGGATATCTTGGTTCGTTCTCTTTGGTCTTCCCGAAGAAATGTTGCCTTGCAAGTGATAATCATCAATATCATCACCGCACATTGTATGGCCCAGTCGCAGTGAGTACTTACACAGGGTCAGACTCGCTGATAGCCTGCGGGTTTCTCGTTATTTCGGGAATTTTCGAAGGCTGCACCGCTGAGGCTTGCGGCGTCTCTGTGTTGAGTGAGCGAGTCCATGATGGTCTCAGGGTGCCCTGCGAACCAGGATTGAATGGTCAGTCAGGGAACAACTTTTGCCTCGTCCACGCATTGTCGACGCCGCGAGAGGAGAACCAACAGACCTGTAAATGTGACCGCGCCAGGCAGCGGGCGGTTGGCCTCAACAGTGTCGAAGCGCGCATCTTCTCTGCATATGTAGCGAGATACTTAAGCAATGCGATGCTGTTGGCATGCGGAAAGGGTTGAGTACGGATCTTGACGGTAAAATCTAGTGGTACCCGCAAGTTATTCATATATGAGGTAGACTGCGTGGGAACAGCCGTTTTCCAGAAAAGAGCATGTCCACTTTATTGAATACCTCGTTTTTTGCATATGACGATTTGTGACCTCGCGTTGCTCAAACACATTAAATCTGCTTCGTTGGGTGATTCAAATAGAGCGCTTGGTTGCTTCTCAAGGATAGTTCATTGTAGTGATTGAATTCAACACGATTTCATCGAATATTCACATCCTTCATGTCTTGCATTCCTGACACCTGCAACTCGGGCCATAGTTCATGTTTTGAATTTTGATTTGTTTTGCGCAGCTATCAGCCAGCGACTTCGGGTATCACGAATTTAAAGGAGACATCTTCAGCCAGAGTAAAACGTGTTCCTGGCTACTGGCGGCTGCGCCGGCGGCGCTCAACCAGTTTTTTGTAAAAGGCCTTTTTGCCGCTCGCCTTTTTCGTCTGAATCGCCTCATATTTGGATCTGAACTTGCCCGACGCCTTTTCTGCGCTTAACAACTCATCCACCAGTGTCTGCGTTCTCTCTTTGCGTGTCAAGCGAGCGCTGTAGAACTCGGTCGGGCCCTCAACAATGCGTCCAACATGAGCGTAGCGAGGTACCTTGGCTTTGAGGGATTCCTTCTTGTAGTGTCGCTTAGAATCGATGGCGGTTCCTCTCATGTGAAGAATCTGAAGATCTCGCTTCAGCTCGGGATCGTTGGGATCTGTCTTGGGAATGCCAAACCAGGCCGGGCCGGCATCATCTTTGGCAGTCTGTCTGTTGTTAGCTCACAGGTCCATTGAAGACTAATAGGCACAGCACAGAATCGGGAGAGTCTTCAATCAGAGTAACTATGAAATAAATGATCATTTTGGCGTGGCAGGTAACCCAAGACGGGCACCGTCACCACATCAAGAAAATTAAGCAGGGGTTGCTTCTCATCAGAAGATGTGAGTGGTGGAGGGCAAGGAGTAGGAATTGCGCAAGACACTGCAACGTACCTTCTTCTCCGCTGGCCTAGGATCGCGAAGCGTAACGCTCTTTGGGTCTTGTGCCTCGGCTTGCACCTTTGAATCCAGAGTTGGATTGGCAGGCGCGGCCTTCGTGGCAATCAAGGTGCAATCCTTGGGCCGTGGCGGCTGCTTCGTCGCGAGGCGACTAGCCGCTTCTTTCAGGAGTTCATCAAGACGCCCATCGCACAGCTCTGGCATAGCGATAATGTGCGATTGAACAGTGGGAGCTGAAGGAAGGCTCAGCTGTATGAAGAAAAAGGATCGAGGAGAAAGAAGAGAGTAGTGCTGGTTGAAACAAGATTTTTTTTTTTCGTCTTTAAAGGTCTAGTGGGGCAATGGGATTTGACACGAGTGGATAGTGGAATTGAGGCGCGTCGCCTGGAGGTGGTACTATGTATTAGGTAATGCATCGGGATATTAGCCGTTATGTAAGCCGGAAACGATGAAAGACCGCTGGCCAGCTCACAGACTCCCGTCGCATTGAAGCAGCGCATTGCTCCACAGTGCAGGTCGTGTTGGATTCTCGATTCTCAGCCACGTCATCGGCCACATGCAGCTCTACGCAACTGGGGACCACTTCCCCTTCACGGCATATCTAGTATTGTCTGGCATCAGATAGAAATGGCAGCACCAAATCTTGGGGTGATTCGGCCTCCCAAGGGGTTACGTGATGGACGAGGCCGTGAGATGCCCAACAGGCAGCTAAATGGAGTAGTTCGGTGTGCTCTGAGAATTGAGGCTGCATGTCGCACCCAACATACCAACTTCCCTGCCTGACGTTAGAGTACTAAGTACCTGATGCTGCATTGCCCGATCGTACAGCGCTCAACGCCTGGAGGTTGAGTTGAAGGTATGTCCAATTACCAAGAACGTATCGTGGATTATACCTTACGTAGTATAGTAGGTGTCATTACACGTCGCTTGAATCACCCGGGCCACGCTGAGGACTTGGTTCCCTACCTCAAGGTGTCAAGTACGCACACAGTCAGGTACCTAGGGCGGTAGGCAAGGTAGTAAGGTAAGATGAGGTGGTAAGGTGAGGCAGCGTTGCCTTGCAATCAGGCCGTGATGTCTATCCAGCACACCTATCTTAGTCGGGTGGCTTTTGGCGGTCAGGCACTCATGGCAGGTTTAAAAAGGTACCGCCCACATACCCTGAAGTACCTTAGTGTCGTAAGGCATCCATAACCTGACCAATGGATACCAACCTACCTATGCCCAACCTTCAGGTTTTGTGCTTTCGAGATTTCAGGTGCCTTGCCTTGCCGAGGTACACCCTTGTACCTAATGACGCTGCCCATCGAAGAGGCTATTTGTTACCTCACATCTGCCCCCCGATAAGAGGTCTGTCGAGCCCACTCAACTCACCGTATGGGCGCTTAGTAGCCAGTATCGCGTTCAAGTTCGCCTGTCGCAAACATCAACCGGCTTCAAGCATCATATTTTTAGTTAACGGAATCCAACATATCACTGACGTCTGCTGTCTATCCGTACTCACCTCCATCCACTCTAAATCGTTCAATTCTTCATCCTTGGCTCCCTGAGGTGCAATACCTTGCGTGCTTACCTTACCTACAGGCAATCGAAGTTGTTAACAGAGAACAGAGGCAGCCTGCGGCTCTGAACCTAAGTACCTACCTACATTGCCTTAAGGTACCCACCTTGCCCTAGGTACCTTACCTTGGAGACCTGCCTGACATTTACCCGCTCTCTGCTCTCTCCTCCACCGTCCCCCCCCCCCAGAGTCCAGAGTCTCAACGCCTCGAGGGTCTCTCAATGGTTGGTAGCCCGTGCATCGCAATCCGACTCTAAGCATCTGATTTGCGCATCTCACCGCGCCCCCGAGCCGAGACGCGCCAGAGCACTGATCGCAAGGCTCAAGCAACACCTTGGGCGTCCGACAGACGACCCGACAACCCCCACACACCTGTGATTCGCAGCTTTCCCGTCGCGTTGCCCACCAATTCCAACGCATCGATCAATCCTCAACCACCTTAGGTACAGTCAGGAATCACTGTGTCTCGCGACAGCTACTATGGACCCTCAAAATCAGCCTGGCTCTCATGCCCAGCAAGGCCGCCCGCAGCCCGTGTATGATACGTCTCATGGCGGCCATTATGGTAAGTGGAAATGCAACAAACCCCCTCGCCTGCCCTCCCCGATCACGCGCGAATGCGCGATAGGAGCGCGCTCTTGACGCGCGAGCTACCTCCTTCACTTCGACTCACCCTCTTCTTACCACCGTTGTACTGATGTCCATCTTCAAACTTAGGCGCAAGTGCTGCGGTTCGTATCTCCTCCTTGCGACTCGCAAACGGCGTCTACCTGCAACGAATGCGATCCATTTCATGAGCCGTATCTAATGACGCACACAGCTATCGGCCCAGGGTTTCGCTCCCGCCGAACTTTACACCGGCCCTTGGGCAAATGTGCGGTCACACCCTCATTCCCTCTCATACGAAGCTAGAGTCGACTGACGCGCGTTGCCACACGACAGGTTCATCAAGGTTTGACCGGCCAGTATAAGGACATCTTGACAACCTATTGGCAGCAGACCATCAATCATTTGGAAAGTGACAACCATGACTACAAGCTGCATCAACTGCCCCTGGCGCGCATCAAAAAAGTTATGAAGGCTGATCCCGAAGTCAAAATGATTTCCGCCGAAGCACCCATCCTCTTCGCAAAGGGCTGCGACATCTTCATCACGGAACTCACGATGCGGGCATGGATCCACGCCGAAGAGAACAAACGGCGCACTTTACAGCGATCTGACATTGCGTCTGCCCTCGCCAAATCGGACATGTTTGATTTTCTTATTGACATAGTTCCTCGGGAGGAGGCTTCTTCGCATGCCAAGAGAACAGCGGGACAGGCTGCTCCCACACCCCAAGGCGTTCCAGCCCAGGCAAACCCCCAAATGCCAGGCCAGCATGGCTCCATGCCACAGCCAGCAAACCATTCGTCCTCCTCGCATCCCATGGCGGCAACTGATTACGGTCTCGCTGGCCATGCTCTCGGGCCCGATCAGGATTACCGCCAAAACCCGAACATGTACCCCGGCCAAGTACAGCCAGGCCCCTCTGCCCCCTATGGACAAGCTCAACAACCCATGTACGGGGAGATTGAGGGCATGTATGGTTATGGGACTATGCAGCCACAGCAGGTGAGTGTCTGCCCAGTATTGATGATTCGCTACGCCACGAACGGGCTGACGAATTTGATAGCCTCCCATGTCCAACGAGGAGTTCGAGTAGACGATGGGCACGCGCAGCAACAAGTGTGTCTACAGCGGCTATCTTCAGTTTACCCCTCACAGGTAAAGCAAAAATAGGGGCAAGGTTATCGTTTCGAATTGGATCCGGCGTAGCGGCGTTCAAGGCATTATTAGCGACGAGAGCCATGATGACGGGACAGCATCGAACCTGCCAGTGCTTCACGATGGATTGATCCTCCCCAGTAATTAGCAGGTTGCAGAGGGGAAAGCTATAAGCTCCATATCTGAGCCTAGTAACATCCCGGAGAGAATACAAATGGGTATTTGCTTGAGCAGGACTCAGATATGACGCGTGCCGGTGTGTTTAACAGAGTACCCCTTGCATGCACTAGGTTTTGCATACATCATCTGGGAGGCAAACGGCTCTCACTTCATCATACCGAATCTGGATGAAAAGTTGGCGAGAGGAGCGCTGCGCGTGGGACCTTGGGCATTCGAGGTAAGCCTGTAAGGAATGTTAATGTTTGAGTGTGGGACGACGAAAGTGATCTTGAGCCTTACTTTTCCAGTAGGATGGGACCGTTCAATGCGTCTACGCGACCGAACTTTTTGTTGCGGATTGAAATATCAAAGAATTCGTCGTGATTGTCAGACTGCATCAGGTTGATCGTTTGTTGGAGTTCGTCCAGGTTCTCTCGTAGCATGGCTCCGTTTTCAAGACTGTCGACAAATTCGGTGAGATATTGGACGTCTTTGGCCAAGGCTGCGACGGCATTGGTGTTGATATGCTTGACGTCCGGGGAAAGTGGCAACGCCTGCACAACAACATATGTCAGTGATGGAGGAACGAATTGGGGCTGTCCGGGGCATCAAGAAACTCACAAGAATCTTGTTGGCGGCATGACTGAGTGCATCAAAGTATATGAGCTCTTTGATTTCTCTTGGCAAGCCCAGAAGCGTCGAGTTCATGATGGTCGAAAGATACCGAGTCATGGTCTGCATGTAGCTGCTTGGGTCGGGAGATGTCGTGGTCACCATCCTGTATACCATTGTCAGTCAACCTCAATGAGACGTTTCCTTTCTAACCGAAACCAGTCTAGTCCAACATACCAGTCATATTCAGCTGTATCCACAAGGTCATCGATCTTTGAGTTGACAAGTTCGAAAATACGCTTCTCGGCTGTCTTTTTGTTGTTTCGGAATTCTTCAGTGGCAACAAGCGTGACAGGGCCGCCAGCTGACGTAGACGATCTTGCTCGGATAAGAAGCTGCTCAAGCTCCTGGCATGCGGCTTCAAAATGCTCTAGGTTGATGAGAATCTGCACAATCTGCCCAAGATATTGTGAACTCAGCCTCTCGACGAGAGACTTGCAGACCTTCTCGGTCAGCAGCTCGTCAAGCGACTGCACGTTGGTGAAGAGTCAGTAACGTTTCCCAAGCTATACCAGCTATGTTACTTGCCTTGCGAAGTGTGTCGTCGATTACATTTGGATGCTGGAAGTGGTCATCGGAGAAGAAGTAGAACTGGTTCAAGAAGTTGCGGATGTCGATGCAGCAAAGTGGATACATCTGCGAGAATGGCAAAACGCAGGGGAAGCTGAATGATGATCAGACACTTGGGTAAGGTCATGTTCAGATAATAGGCTTGCTTACCTGAGCTCCTCGAGCGATTTTTCTTGGGAAAACCAGCTAACGTTCACCACCTTCTCATACTCTTCACGAGTATTAATTGCCATAGGCATGTAGTCGTCCGTTGACACAATCTAGCTCGCGTTAGCCACACCAGATTATGCCTAAGTGGACAAGATTCTGTACCTCCTGGAAGTCTTCGCTGAAGCGACGCTTCAAAAGCTCTGCATACTTGTCGAACAACGTAAGCAGGAAGTTGTCCAGTATAGACACAGAATAGCCCCAGCCCTGTCGAGGATCAAGTGTCAGGAAACGGTTTTCGAAAAGTAGCACACGAGTCAACGAGACCGCCTACCTCCATAGTTTGGATGAAAAGAGCTATAACGCCTTTGATCTTGAGTAGTATCTCGGCGTTGCTGACTTCATTGAGGGCCTGAGAGGTCAATGTGATAGCAGTGTGACACATTGAGTCCCATAGCTCGTCAACCTAATAACAATTCAGCGCCAGCACACAGGAGGCCGAGAAGAGAGTCAGCCTACATCAACTGCAGAGCGCAAGTTGGGGACTCGTCTCATGGTCGCCTTCTCGATGATGGCAAAGCCAGCGATTCCTTCGAGGAGACTGCTCAGGGAGGATTCATCCTCTGCAACAAGATTCACCGTGCTTGGCAGTAGTAAATCTTTCTGCTGCCGACGAGTTGTAGCATACTCGGCACGGAATTTCTCGCTTTGACCCAGGGCATTGTGGATATGGAGGCACTCGAACAACGGGGTGAAGTCAACCCGTAGCTCCTCGTTGTCGAGCACGTCGAACTCTTCACTTTCGTCAAAGACCAGCTCGATCGACGAGTTGAGTCTGAAGTTGTTGAGAAAACTGTCTCGCTCCACACGTTCTCTCTGTCTCGCCCTTCTAAGTTCGGTGTGATAGAACGCGACCTCACCGAGGAACTGTGAGGTCTCGCGAATTCGAAACAGCCAGGTATTTAGGTCGGTCATAACGGCTTCAGAAATGATTTTCTGGGATGCGGGTATCGACTTTTGTATCACATCGGCTAGTCTGTGCTGAGTGGCGTACTTATTCTGGATTGTCGGGATCAGATGCTCATTCTGCAAGTCTTCGAGTGACTTGAGCGCTGCATAATACTTTTTAGTGCGGATCAGGTCATGGGCATGATTGACAGCGTGGAGGATCTTGAGCGACTCTTTCAGAGCATCCGATGCGTCGGCAATGTTCTGGCGAACGGCTCTTGTGTTGACCAGAGCTTGCTTTTGGTCGGCAAGCTTCTCGGTGCTGGCCTGGATAGACTGGTTCAACCTGAGAATCTCTGCTGTGAGAGTAACAGTGCCTTCGCGCACGTTCTGAAGTTGGTTCACGGAACCAAGAAACTCCTCGTGCTTTGTCAAGCCTATTCTCTCGATATCAGACTCTCTGTCTTCGGCATATCGCACGAGATTTTGCATCAGCGAGGGGGTTCGATTCGAGTGCGAAGCATCTTTGAGGACCGGAATGAGCTGGTCGAGAAAGTCTGCGTCGGATGAAGTGATGATAATCTGGAGCAAGTTCGAATTAGCAAATGAAAGAGGTGTATGTGATTGGGATCTCGGCTCAGATTCAACCTGTTGGACGGCTGCGCCATAATCATCGTAGGTCTGCGGGCGCCGAGGCATCTTGTTCCATGCCTTGCGCAGTACGCGATCTCGTTGGGGTGGACTGGACACGGGGTCCGTTTGGTCGGTCGGCGGTAGCGATTTGTCGTAGGACCAGCTTCGTGGCTTGGGCTGGGCATGAGCAAGTCCCTGGTTGAGGCAGAAGCGGCCAGTTCAATGAAACCTGACGAACGTGGACGAAAAGGCGATTGGGTTGTGCCTATGGCCCTGTGTTAAGGTACGGATACTCAGGTAGGTCGATAGGCTGGTATTAGGTAGGTAAGCTCCACCCGGCGGTTGGTGATGTCGGAGCTAAGATGTGCGGATTGCTGTGCAGGCCTGAGGAGGCTCTTCCTTTTTGGACTACTGTGGTAGACTCGGTCAGCGCCACTAATGCAGGTGCTCGCATGGAAAGTACTACGTAAGGTACCATGACACACCTGGCAGCACCACTTTGACGTGGGCGACCTTCCATCCCGGGGCCGTGTCCTCCGGCAGCCAAGGACCTTGTCTCCCGGTTTGCGGGGTGGGTGGGTCCCGTCCCTCATAACGTAGCTCCAACTTGATACTGCGCAACAGTTATGTTTAGATCATCACCTGCTCATAATGGACCAAAGTGCCAGACTTGTTCAGACATGGCAAGTCCATTCAGTTTTGATACTACATTCTTCATAAAGGATGACCTCGGGCCACTTACTATACTTCTTTCAGAAGAAGCCTGGCAGGAACACGAACGGCATCTACAAGCACTGACCTGTCTCTCTCTCTCTCTCTCTCTTTCTTCGTGTCACCACGCACCATGCTGGACTTACACCTCTTCACAGAACAGTAATATGACGGCACATTTCTGTCCGCGTGTTCCTGCCTCGGAACTGATGCGGACAGTGTGTCCTTCCAGCGGTTCGAATCGACTCGCTGCTCCCTCGTTCGGAGTATGGGAAATGAGAGGTTGTAAGTCGGGACATGTACACCTGATGCATATTGGTTAATGTGGCTGCTTCTGGATGACTGTCTCCATTACGTTTCATTCATTTAAGGTGATTTGAAGGATGCTTCGGTGAGCTGCTATCCCCTTCGTGGGCTGATAGAAGATGCAGCCTTTGTGGTGAGGGAGGAATCATCAGTAGGTAAGGTGAAACTTCAGACTTTAGAGGCAGGCAGGTGCAAGCCTTCGTCATGTTCATTCGTCCACTACGGAAGGAAAGTGTCACTGCCTTGGAAGGAAAGAAGGAATCCACCTGCGACGCGCCTTCCCCCTTTTCACCACCTGCCCACCAACTGCTACATAGGCTCCTTCCGTTCGCTGCCCTCAGAGACGGCGGGTTCTTCCCTCCTCAACTTGCGCTGCACCAACATCCAGCCTCGCACACCTCACATCACACATTTTCCCACGAGGCCCCCAGATTCATACATATCTCTCCTACTTCCACCCCGACTACCTGACGCTGCCTACCCGGTCATCTTTGTCGGCGCATAGCCCGCGTAGGCCCACGCATCCTCAACTTGTCCTGAACTTTCGCTGTCGGCCTACCCCAAGGTGAGAGCTACTCGGTATCGTCACCCGTCTGAGACTTCTGCAGTGGCACGGCTACCTCGCGGGCAAGCAACAGAGTTCAATTTTCTACCTGTTGCGTTGAGACTCAAGCCTGTCAACTCCATCTATCATCCCCCGGGTCTCGGTAGTTCGATCTCTTCCCCTCACTAATCAGACACCACTCTCTCATTTCCCTCCCCTTCGTCTTCACTCATTGGGTTGAGAGGCATCGCTCGTCGAGAAGAAACATCACGACAGACAAGATGGCCCAAAACCATGAGAGCGTCATGTTTAACCCTTCTTCGCCTCACTCCTCTGTCGGCGCTGCTGATTCCTTCAAGGGAACGCCTGACACAAGGTTGACCGCCTTCTCTCCGGAGGAAAGCGCCACGAGATCCTCCCGTCTTCTCAAATCAATTGCACAGGCCTCGCCAGAGACCACTCCCTCGAGATTTCCCTCGAGCGCCTTTGGCAGTGTCTTGTCTAGTGCCGAGAAGGACCCTTTCATCACTACAAGTTCAAACACTAGCCATCAGAAGCTGTCGCCGACTGCCTCTACTTTCCAGCCCTTCTCTTCACCACTGGACAAGAACGCTGAATTCGCAATTCTCGACCGAGACAGGCAATCAGCTTCCAGCGTCTTTCCGACTGGAGTTAGGAATGTCGGTGAACTCTCGGAATGTCTCATAATCGGCTCCCAAAACCGAAACCTTGGCATCACCGATCTGAATACTTGTCTCATGGTGAGTGGTTTGTCTCCCGTCACGTAACATCTTGACTAACAAGTAGTTAGAAACTCCAGCGACTTGGTCTCTCTCTCCAAGAACCGCGACAGATCTTTCACAGAGGAGGGCGAATCTCCGTTCAGTTCAACGATATACGTGACGCCGTTTTGGTCCACGACAACGTTTATCGAGTTGAGGCTGACTTTGAAATCGACTATCTGTCAAATGTTGACTTTTCAGAGGTGCGTCTTATTGGATCTCTGACTGAAGTCTCGTAACTGATATTCGAGAAGCTTGCCATTAGGAACAGAGTCAAGTCTGGAGCTTGGGTCGCCGTTGTTGCCCTGGCCATTCCTCCCTGTCCACTCGACGTTATCCGCACCGAAGCAGTACTCAAGCGCATGCTGCAGTCCCGGGGCCAACTCTCGGCATACCATGCTCAGCAGAGCAATGATCCTTCGGTATACAGAGCCATCATTCAGTTCAGTGACCAGGCCGAAGCTGCTACAGCCGTGGTCGTGATCAACAACATACTTGTCGAAGTAAGCTCATCGAGCGCTGGCAAACTATACAGGGACAACTTTGAAATTGAGCTAATTGTTTTCAAGGGGATCCATATCACCCTGTCGCTTTTGGATGAAAACGAGATTCCTTATGCGACCCAAGATCCTCAAGACGGCCCGACCGACGACCACAGCCCAGCCACGCCTAGGCACGATCTGACAAGTGCCCTTCATGCACTTTCCCTCTCCAAGCAAGCTAATCAGATGCCTCTCATGCCTCAGGGAGTGTCCATGCCCGTGCCTGGATCTCCATACCCCCCTCTCGGTATCCAGGTTTCCCCTCTGGCGATGTGGCCCATCTTGTGCCAGCCGCAGTTTCAGCCAAGTACAGCATACGTCCTGAATGGTGGCCAGCGCCTCTCGCCGCCTACGTCTACATCCAACTCAGCGAGGTATCAGCTCACGAACCATCTCTTCTCACAGCCTTCACCGGTCATGCCAATGATGGGGTCAATGTCTCCTGGCACGAGAGCCGAGCCCCGGAGGCAGAATGCAGCTAGAGTCAACAGATCGCCCTATTATAATATTGCTAGCCACCATAACCACGTCGATGTGAACCGCATCCGTGAAGGAACAGATGTTCGCACCACGGTAAGTAATGTGTTGATATTGTTGGATACTCAGACTGACAATGCTGAGATCATGCTTCGCAACATTCCGAACAAAGTAGACCAAGCAATGCTCAAGCGGATCGTTGATGAATCTAGCTGGGGCAAATATGACTTCATGTATCTCCGGATTGATTTCGCCAATGACTGCAAGTAAGCAATATCGCCATTCTCAAATCTCATCATGCATCAAGGCACTAACCACGAAGGACTCCCCTAGTGTCGGATACGCTTTCATCAATTTTGTGGACGTAAGTCTGGCCTTTGGGTAAACTGTAACGTGTTACTGACATTGCTTCGTAGCCGTTGGACATCATTGATGTCGGTAAGCCCAGACCTTGCGTTCGCGGCAGTGCTGATGTTCAAATTACAGTTCGTCAATACCAGAGGTAATCAGAGATGGTATGTTGAACGTAACAATCAGTCCAGACGACATGACACCAGCTTACATCGACCCAGGAACTGTTTCAAGAGCGACAAGGTCGCTGAGATTTCCTACGCCAGTGAGTGTCGCGAGGTGGGATAAACGTCAAACTGGCCTGCTGATATTCTCTCCCAAAGCCATTCAGGGCAAGGATTGTCTTGTCCAGAAGTTCAGAAACAGCTCCGTAATGCTCGAAGCGACGCATTATCGTCCCAAGGTCAGCGAGCTTCCACCAGGCGCGCGACAGAGCTAAACACTAACTACAATATAGCTGTTCTACACCTCCAACGGGCCCGTCCCAGAGCTCGCGGGAGAGGAGGAGTCCTTTCCAGAGCCAGACAACCAGTCGAAGATGAAGCGAAGCTGCGAAAATGCAGAACACGTTGGTACGAAAGGATCGCCGATGTCTACTGGACCATGCTAACAGGAACCTCGCAGGGCTTTTCACACCCAACGCTGGACAGCATTTCCGCGACGAGCAACGCCGCAGACGCTCGCAGTATGACCGAGGTACCAGATTGGCCGCCCTCGAAGAACATGACTTCGAAGCATCTACGCAGCCATACATGTATCATGCTTAAGGTAGTGGGTGGTGGAATTTGGAAGGCAGTTTCAAGGGATAATGCAGGTCGAATGAAAGTACTGGCATCGCAATACTACTAAGGGGGAATTGGGACATTAAAGTTCTGTCCACATACGTGGGGCTCCAACTTTGATTGTTATATACTGGAGCTTTCTGGAAGTGTCATGAACGTGTAATCATTAGTACCTAGCTATACTCTGCTAAGATATCATGGCTGCATAATCTCTCAGCCGTGCCAAGTATGTTTCTGCGCTTTGTCTCATTTCGATTACAAAACCCATTACGGCCAGGATGCTGCATACACCACGCCGTCCAGGGCAATTGGTAGGTTGTGGTTCCGGTTCCAGTTCCATCCATCAATGCGATGACAATGATGTGAGGAACCTAACACAAAGTCGAGTCGGATACGGTACAAGGTGGGGCTTTGTAAGCCGAAGTGAGAGACTCACTCTGGTAAAGCTGGAAGTGGTTTGCGAACTGTAGATGAGACGATCCCAAGAGGTTGATTTGCTAAATCAGCCTCAGCTTCGCTCTCCAGTGGCGGGGGGTCTAGAAGGACTCTAGTTGAACGAAGTGAGTTTTGGGGCAAAGTTCCACAACCATGCTGTGCCGCATCAATCAATGTTCCGGTCGCTTCCTCAACAAGAAGATGCTCGCCAAAATCCACGGAGGAGCCATGGCAATCCCCAGTGGAGTCATTCTCAGCAAATGTACCAAATGGGTGTGTTTGCGACATCATAGGCCTATCAGGGCCACACAGATTGCTCTCTGAGGCTTGGCAACTGTATCCATCTTCTGATGCCGGCGTGAGCAGCCTTGCAGGCGTGCCCTGCAAGTTTTGCAAGGCTCCAGAACCCCCCTCCATTGAGGTTCTTTTGCCACGGCCTTGCCCGTCAAACGGCCGGCCGAAACTGTCATACGCGGAGGTATATGTGTTCTGAGCAACTTGTTCGGATCTAATGCCAGATTCGGAATGGTTCAGATTCGATGTTCGACCGAGATCAAAGGAACCAGCCAGGATCGGCTGTGTCATTGCTCGGGAGAATATGACGAGGATGAGGCATGACAGCAGAAGAATGGCCTGTACGATAGCCATCCTCTTCTGGAACACAACTTCGTCGGCAAGAATGTTGAGCCGAGAGCTGAGTGCGACGGTTTCCCTCTGTGACTGCTCTCGCTGACTCTCCAGCGCAATGACGGTAGATTGCCATATCTGATCATACTGCTGGCGAACAGTCCGCAGTTCTGACAGTACGGTATTGTTCAGACTGTCCAGGAAGATGTCGATTCTAGACAATTGCCTCCTCTCGACCATTTTCTGGGTCTCTTGAAGGTAGCGAGACTGGTCCTCGATGTACTTGAGTGACAGTGAGACATTTGACTCCAAGTACTGCAGGCGCTTGCTAACGGCTTTGAAGAAACTTTCTTGGACTGTGGGAGATGAGGGCGCTGCTGTTGAGTTGTGCTTGTTGCGGGATTGGACAGTGGCTTGTGCTGTCTTTGTCGAGGATGTGCCCAACATCGTACTTTCTCCTCCTCCTGGCCTAGGGTCGGTGTATGTGCTGCTTTGGTGTGCACCGACAGGGACAGACTTCGCCGATGATGGGGTGTATGTTTCGTCAACTTGATCTGTCAAGTTCGCTGCGGCAAACGCCGATCTGTCCTCAGAGCCACGTTTGGCAGAGTCTTCGGCTCGAAATCGATCATGTGTTGATGGTTGGTAGCCTTGCTTTACACGATCTCCAGTCTGCAGTTCTGGGTCTGATGGAGTTGGTTCTGGATGCGGCAGTGGCATCAAAGGAGGGCATGTCGAGTTATCCGTACCCAGATGCGAAAAGATGTGGCGCGGCATTAGCAGGTCTGACGAGGTGTCAGATGCCACCTCTGGTGAGCCCCCCTCTAGGGGTGCAAACGTTGTATTCTCTCCAATCTCAGCGTTGGTGGCAGAACTAGGCAACTCGCCTACAGGTTCTTCCACCACCTCATCTTCATCGGTCTGTGTTTCTTGGTCCTTCCATGACTCCAACATTCGTGTGCCGTGCACACGCAATAACGAGACTGGACAATAGAACTCATTGCCATAGTGAGTCAGGAACTCTATCCTGACGTATTTGGCCCAGATCAGGGGATTTTGAACGAGGAAGGGCTGGATGTCCCGAGAATTCTTGGCCTCGAATGTGCCTAAATCTTTCCACTTATCAACCTTGACAGGATACCTGTCACTCACACTAACCCGGAAGTGCCGTACCATGCTGGAAAAGAACTCAAAGTTGGCCAGCACAACGGTGTCGACTAGAATATCGTCACTGAGCTCAACAATCACGAACTTGTTTCCTGCAGAGCATTCCAGTAACATGTATGAATCCTTGTTTTCAACCAATATGGCCTTGGCATTCTTCGCGCCTTTGTTAGTCTTGAGGACTGTTGCGCCAGCGTCAAATGACGAGTAGGAGAACCTTTCCTTGCAGGTCTTTCCAGCGTCCTTACTCCGGTAGTATTGCGTTCTGCCATCGTCATAAAGCACAGGCTCCTGCTGTTGGTCGGGAGTTGCCACTTCTGTCGGAATGGCCTGGGGTGCTGATGCAATGTTGCTGATTTTCTCAGAAACAACATCGAAGTTTAAGTCGATCTCCCCATCGTCAATACCGAGACTGTCAAGACCTGAACTTCTGGTTGCTCTGTCATGCTCGGTCGCGCGCTCGACTGTTTTCCGGGATTTGAGTTCTGAAGGGTCTTGACCTGCCTTTCGGAGCATCATCTCCTTCCATTCCTCAAAGGACATGAAAGGCCTCGGTGTGACTTCATCATCGGTTGCAGTCTCCGTAGGAGACGGACTTGTGTTATCGTTGCTTGTTCGGTCGAGTGTTGAGACGTTGGTGGCCGCGACCATGGTATCTCCAGAACTATGTATGGTTTTCGTTGGATCGTCGGGGGGTAAGCTTGCGTTGTCGTTCACCGGAGTTGAACCATCGCTGATAGCCCTGCCGCCTGGCCAACTGGTCTTGAGACACTGTTGAGGAAGTGTGTGCGTGATGTAATTGATCGTCTTGAACTGACAAAAGGCGATCTGAGTGTTTGTGGGTGAGGCGTTGATTGAGCTAGGTACCTGGCTCGAAGTTGAGGTGCAGCCGAGTGCCAGCACCGAGGCGACGATTAGAAGAGGCCTAGCCCACGGTTCCTGGCCATGAAACCACATGTTGCCGCCGAACCGAGTTCGACAATGGCGATGATGAGTCCGCAATCAGGGAAACACCCATGATCTAGAACAGCGGTGATGATGTTTGAAGTTGTCCGACCGTGACGTCTGCCAACTAAAAGCCGGTGCGCAACACGAGGGCGTGATAGGGATGGATGGAAGTGTAGGAGTGGAATCAATAATTAATAATATTTAATCTAAAAATAACAGCTTAGACCTACACATATACGAGCGACTTTAAAAAAAGTAATATATAATATATTCTTTTTAGAAATATAAAAAAGGGCTTTTAACTATTATGATAAATTATTAAAATACTAAATACTAGGGCCTTATACGCTTATAAAATTCTATTTATTTATTTTTATATTAAAATTATTTATTTTTATACTACTTTTATTAATCGCTCAGGTAACTCTTAATATTAATTATATAATATTAATATATAATATTAATAAATGCCCTTACTATCTATTAAACTATTTTTTTAATTTTTATTTTTTTAAAAATGTTTATAATTACGGATTAATAATAATATTAAATATAGAATATTATTATTTTATAAACCTATATACTTAGTTAAGTTTCCTTAATAGAATAATCCGCTGGGGTTATATTATATATTATATATTAAGGAAACTAAGTATATTATGCTCCATGTAATTACTAATTAAAATAGTTAACTAATTTAATTATTATCTCCCTTTATTAATAACTCCCGACTTTTTATTACTTCTAGTTATTTATAAAGTAAAATTTACTTATTTTAATATATATAAGACCTCTTAGTATTAGCCTGTATAAATAGCTAAGTTTAGTACGATTTTTTTATATATGTATTATTATTACCTAGGGGCTTATAAGAGCTATTTAAAATATTAATTTATTATTTTAACCCTATACTCTTTTAGCCCACTTATTATAATTATTATAATTAAGCTAGTATTAATATACTAAATTTTAATATTTATATTAGCTTAGTTATTTATAATATTTATAATATTACTTAGTTAAATTCTATATTATTAAAAATATTTCGCTACTTTTTAAGCGTATTTATATTAATTATAATAGTTATAATATCGAGTTAGTTAAAATAAGTACTTAGCTTAAGGGGTAAACTTATTAATAAGTATTTTTGAAGTTCTAGCTTACTAATTACTAACTATATACTAAGAGAGTAGGTTCTTATTAAAATAATATTTTAGCTAACCTCTTAATTAGTAATTTAATTAATTACTTAAGTAGTAGTTTATATATTAATAAGTTTATTTAATAAGTTTATTTAGTAAATTTATTTAGTTTAAATAGAGAATAGCTTTAAGTAATATTAGAAGTAATAAGGATAAAAATTTTTCTATAAGTTTTAAAAAGTAGTAAATATTAACCTTTTAGCCCTTTTTTAAAAACCTTTATATTATTATTAAAATTTAGAACCTTTATAGTTAAGAATAAATAACTTCTTTATTAGGCCGCTTTTAACCTTTATAACTAATTATTATAGCTAATTATTATAGCTAATTTTTATTATAACTTTTCTAACTAGTACTATTACTAAAAAGAGTAGCTTATTTATTCCAAATTAAATAGCAGTTTCCGTATTAAAATTATTATATTATATTAAGTACGTATTTAGAGTATATTATATATATTATATAGTTAAAAAGTATATTATATTATATAATTTTTTTAAAGCGTAATCTTATTAAGGTCAATTTTTGTGCCTATAAAGCTGAAAAAACTACTATATACTTAGCTAAGTTTATTTTTAAATAATAATAGCTTATAATAATAATATTAAAAATACCCTTATTATTATTAATAATAATAATACTAATTATTAATATATATTTTAATTATATATATATATATATTATTTTTAATTTTACTTTTACTAG